AGTAAAGGAAAAAAATCTGAAAACCGTAAATTTATACTTATCTTACAAAAAATATTAAACTTGAAGGTTTTGTACGGAACCTATGTTGCGCGATTCTGACTCACACTTGACAGACTTTTTACGGATTTAAATGACTGTTAATTAATCAATATTTTTTATGCAGACTGATCATTCCTGACAGGGTAATTATAATAATTTTAAAATAACGTATCTCATAAGAGTCTATAACAAATTTATACGAATAAAATTTCAATTGATTTTATAAATGCGATAAAGGTTTTTATCTAATTTCAAAGTACGGAATCCTCGGCGTGTGTGTTCAACTCGCACATAAGGTTTGTACGTAAAGTTGATTTTAAAAAATTATCATATATTTTTAATTTCCAGTATCCAACCGGATTTTTAGTTACTATCTGATATTTATCCGGATAGCAAATTTAAACCAAATATTCATTTCACAAATGCGAAATGAAATTAAAAATGACACTAAAACTAAATTGAGCCTTATTTCTAAAATAATACAGCAGGGTCTATTACCAAATTTTTAGTATCATATTTAGAATGAATAGTCATCTCATTCCTAACTACGGGAACCTACGGGAGTATGGGTTACAAAAATTATATGATTGGGCACTAAATTATCTGCTTAGACACCTATGTCCCGCGTGTTGCAGCTGTGAGACATACTTATAAGGATGCTTCAATTTGAAGTGTGGAAATGGCATTAAAATTTGAAGGTAGTGAGGTATAACATTTCAGTCCTCATGAATAACAACGCACGGAAGGGTCCATGAGTCCCACAATGCGATCAGTGATGTTATTCAGTTGTGTTATTCATATCCAAAGCGACAATTACCACTTTCCATCGGATGAGTCGTCAATAAATTTACAATTTTTAGTAACATAAAAATTTTAACGGCGTACTTTTTGGTGTAATAATTTTTATTATTTTATAAAACTACCCTAGTTTTATTATGTAACTATCTATCTATCTATTTATCTATCTATCTAACTACCCTAGTTATATTGTTATTAGTATCTCCTCAGTTATCAGTCGAAAAGATATCGTATCAATCTCAATCTTCAATTCAAAAAGCTAATAAATCCTACCTATATTAGACGACAAAGTTAGTCCAATTATTGAAAGTGATTACCGTCTTCCCAGTAGTCCTTTCCTTCACTCACCCTCGCACCCCTCAAACACCGTCACTTACAACACTTAACCAATTACATTATTCAGTAAGAACCTGCGTTAACTCTAGAACGACTAACGAATCAATTAAAAAGTATTTATTATAGAAAACGACACTGTGTTCTAAAATATGGATTACATCTGCAGTACTTTACAACTAAGCTTTTATTTGTTTGTATTTTTTATTATTAGTATTATTATTGTAAAATTAAAAAAAAATGAAATCAAAACTAATTCAGATGAAATAAATAAAAACCAATTTAAAAGATAATTCACATAATCTTTAAAAATATTATTTAACAGTTATTATTTTTGTCCCACTCGTGTTTCTGGCGCCAAGCAGGTGTACTTCCATGGCCGTTTCGACTAGAAGTGTGGGATATATAGCAGTAAAATAACAGAGCGCCGATGCATACATAACACTTCAGTCCCCGAATTCACATGGGAGGACTTCACAATGTATTCTGTTATGTTCATGGTGCTGAGCAGTTATTTCTTTAAACCGATCTCTAAAATTAAATTTCTATTTAATATCACAGAGAAATCTTTATCGTGAAGATCAATATGAAGTAATTTTCTAATAGATTAAATATTATGATTTAGTCAAAATTATTATAATTGGTTTATAAAACAGTAATTTCGCGAAATCATCCAATTAAAATACTGGATTTAAATATAGATTTAGAAAAATATAGGCGATGATTACGACTTTTCATTAGATGGGCCATCAGCCTGTTTGCCATTACAAGTTGCATAAAAGAAAATATTTTATACTAATTACGATAAAGGGTAAAGCATGACTTTCAAATGAAACAGGATTAATTATTATTCCTTATTACCTATTCCTATTACCTTATTAATTAGCGCCAAAATTAAATTGACTATCCTAAAATTTCTTTTTAGTCAGAGTATAATATTTTTGATTTATCACATTTCAATCACATTAAAATTAAGTAGAAAGTGAAAATTCATACAATTTATATTTCGAATAGATTTGTATTTTGCTCTCAAAGAACTTAATTTTTTTACATGAAACAAAATTTAAAATCGATAAACAAGAGTATATACTTGATACTATTCTTTATGATCCCCAAAATCTAATAATAAATATTATAATAAATAATCTAATAATAAATATTATAATTAATAATCCGTTAATAATAATTATTATAATAAATAATCTTAATAATAATTAGATGAATTGGACAAACTTTTATCGAATAAATGACATTCGTAATCAAGTTAATTAATTAATATTGGACTCGATGAGAATCAATCCAATAAAATGAATGCAGAGAAGTAATCCACATAATACATTACAACAACATAATATACAATTTAATAACAAAGTCCGAAAAAATATCATCTACCGCTGAAATTTTAACAGTTTTATAATCTTAATATTTAAAATCTAAAGGGTCTGCCATGTAATAGTCTGCATTTTAAACATTTTTTGTTTTTTTTTTGACAACTAGGGAAAAAATAAAACTTTAAATTTTTATTCATACATTTATTGTCACGTCAAAAATTTGAGAACAAAATTTCAAGTAAATAAATTTTCATAAGAACATAAGTTACACTACTCTGAAGACAACTGCTTCCAGAAAACTCATGCTCACTTCCACCGTGATTTTAGCCGATTGGCTTATCTGAAAGAAACAATAAAAACGACGTTTTAATCTGTAAGTGAAAATCCATCAAGTGAACTAGAATCATTTGAAAATATTGAATTTTGGATTTTTGTCAGACTTGTGAAAAAAAAATCTTGTATTTTATTTTTTAATTACGAAATAATAGTAATACTCGGAATTTTTTAATGATCCTAGTTCATTCCATGCGTCTACATGTGCTAATTCGATTGCATAAATATCAAGTGAATTGGACAGTCGTTATCAAGATATGATAAAAATTTTGAAAAACAGCGTTTTGAATAAAAGGAGTATATAGTAAAGATAAAAATATATAGTTATGTCAAAACAACGAAAATCTTAACTTACTTATTTGCGATACCTGGCCCATTTTTCTTGTTATTATTTTCAAAACTTCTTGAAAATCTTCCATTAATATGAATGATGACAGAAATATATACTACAATCTCAACTATTTTGCCGCCAGAGCACAGATGTTTTGAGCGAAAGGCGATATTAACGAATTTAGGGACTCATTATTATTTTGCATCTCTGCACCTAAACAAGGGTTCAACAATTCATCTCTTGGCAAATCCTCATAAACAGGTTTTATAACTCTTTGGACTTCTAATATTAAAGGTGGCTTGTCGTGATGGAATTGGTCAAGCTCATTCCGAGCTTACGCCTTGCGCCATTTACACCAGCTGTCTTCACCTTCCGGACAACATTCATATGTTGAGGATTTCATCTGATGAACTTTTATGATATAAAGTCGATTCTTATGACGAACAGGGTGAGAATTACCAATTACCGCGCTTCCTTTTCTACCACTCATAGTGAAAATAAATAACTTGTAACTGATCACTAATTTCAAATTTCTCGTAATTGTACTCTCCAAAGTTAAATCGAGACTCAAATAAACTATTTTATAAAATAGTTGACCCTAGAAATTTCTTTCTATACCTATATATACGTATTTATACTTGTATAAACTTTTTCTATACCTATATTTAACGACATGATAGTCAATTCGACGCTCCGAACATTTGTCTTCTAACTACAATATTTTTAGAAAAACTTCGAAATTTAAAATATCACTTTACCCTCATATTTTAAATATAATAAAGAATCAATTCGTGCATAAAAAAATTATCGATTTTTTTAAACCATCACACCGGAGAACCCTTTTAATAGATAAAAAAAAACTTATGCGTGGCACATCAAGCTAATCTCCCAAAACAGCTTAACCGATTTCAATAAAATTTTGTAAATACATCTTGTTTTATCGTAAATGAGAAAAAGGATTGTTTTTATCCTATTAAAAAATGTGTCCGATAAGTGGCAGTAGGAGACAAAATAACGTTTGCCAGGTCAACTAATACATATTTTGAATATTGTTTGTATTAGCATCTGTCTAAAGTAATACTATAAAGAGCAATGATTTTATTTTTGTTTGTAATAGATAAACTCAAAAAATGCCTAACAGATTATAAAAATACCTTTACCTACAGAATGCTAAATTAATAGCGAATAACATGAGCGATATTGTATAAAAAGAAAACCGTGCAAATTCGGTGTGGGTCGCTAGAAAATAAAGGAAAGAGCAAAGAAAGGTTCACGATTGCGGACAATAAAGTGTTAACCCGTGATGAACAATAAATGAGTGATTTCCGCCATCAATTGTCCACTGCAGAAAATTATCATAATCTTATGATGATTAAAACATATACAGAATGAAATCAAGATCAGTATTCCTTTACGGGAGTGCCAATAAAAATCAGTATTTTTCCAAAAAAAATCCACGAAACGATAAACGAAAATATAGTGCGTCCATAATATTTAAAAAATAATAACTAGATTGACTTACTTGTATTGTTGTTATTATTGATTCAATAAAATATGAATGAATAAGAAACTCAACAATATAAAAGTCACGTCGAGCTGTCTAGTTGATATGGGAAGCCCTACAGTTTGTTTTCATATTTCTAGTTCTTTAAGAAAAATGTAGACATATCTAACACATTTCTCACGTCTAGTACATGAAAATAATTAAAAAAAACCTATTATTAAAAATAAAAACAAATGTAACAAATATAGAAACGTAACGTACAATTACCGAGTACATAATATTGACGTGTAAAAAAAAACATAATAAAAAGAACTTATAATTAAATACTTACGGTGTCAGTAGGAACAGATGAACCGGTGAAAATTCATTTAAACAATCGTCTGATGCGAACGGGTCCGGTGCTATGATGTGCGGGTTCAAATCTACATCGTGCTTAGATTGAGCCGATGTCAATAAACCATCTGGCGGAAATCTAGACAAAATTTTTAACAAATTAGTAAATTATATATCAATAAACAACGGGACGACAATTCTTACATTATTCTCATACAACGCATTATAAATAATACATCTCCTTTATGTTTAATAAATAAATTCTTTTCGCACGGGCTAATAGATGAGGCCAAATCTTACTATTGCAAATACAAATTCGTACTGCGCTTTTACGGCACTGCAATTTCTATTCGACTTTTCTTATTTAAAAGCCAACTAAAAACTTCAACTAACCATTTTATAGATTAATATTATATATTTTTTCTTTTATTTGATTATTTCCAATTTTAATATTATAATGGTAGAAATAATTATATAATTATTATTTATAATATTAGATTAATCAAAAAATTCAATCAAACAAAATTTTAAAAGTGTTTGTATATAAGAAATATGTTGTTGTGTATCATAATCTTTATCATGATATCAGCCGTTAACTGTCCCCTGCTGAACATAGGCCTATGTCCCCTTATTTGAAGGATTTTTGTTATGTATGTTATGAAAAAATGTCACTTATGCTTCTAACTGTTGTACTAAAATAAACTTCTTTTTAATATATCTAATGAAATTAAAAAGAATTTAATTTAAAGAAAAATATTTTATTAAATAATGAAATAAAAAAAAAATATAAAAAAAAGCAAAGCAAATTTGAATTGCGCGCGTTTTTGTTTGACATGAAATTTAATTTGAGCAAGATTCGCATTTCTTACAAATAATAAAAAATAGATGTAAAATTACAGGGTACAGAGGCATAATATCATAGCCCTCTGTAATGACAAAGCATGAAGCGTACCATTGACATAAGAGTGTATGTATTCTGTAATGGCCAGTATTGTTTATCAGCTTGTTTAACATCGTTAAGTATCATAAAAATAAATTTAATTAAATTAAAAACTAAAGAATCAATGCAACTTATAATTATAAACAAAAATATTAATATAGTAAATATTGATAATTATTCTATAGGCAATATGAAATTAATCCACGACTCAGAACATATCCACATCCAGAATTTGCTCTGCATACCTGTACAGACACGGTAGGGAGTGCTTGACCACACCGCCGGGTATGAATCTAACATTATTAACCTTCAATGCTCATTTCAACTTTTAACGCCGATATATCCTAATCGATATAAACACATATATAGAAAAACTAAAGCTTAATTGTGTAAGAATATTAATTTCAGATAGAATAATAAAGAATAATTAATGAATAGGATATCTGCTAACTATATTTGCAAAAATACGGGTGGTTAAGCTTCCTAAAATTCAACTAGCACGCAACGATGGTTAAGCTCACCCCTCATATCGTAAAAGAAAATCTCTTGTAGGGACTAGTCTGCTCCAGTTTACTACTTATGCCCGACTATAAAATGTTACTTTTTAACCATATTTGAAAATACTTTTAAAGAGAGTATCTGTTGAATTTCTTACGAGTTCTTCAGAGCAAATAAAGTTCTGAACCAAGCGGCAAAATTATAAAAAAGTTATGATTTGAAAGTGGTTGCAAACAAACCTATTTAAATAAACATGATTTCATTCTAAAACGAACAATATTTTTACAAACACGTGTCAAATTTATAAAAAAAAGACTTTTCTTAAAAAGCATCAATATCCCACTTTTTGCTTTAATGACCCTTTAAGAATTAACTCTCATCTATGGGCAAAATTATGGATAAATGAGAGTTGTAGACCATCGACTTCACTATATTAATTTATTACTATTTAATGTACTTAATATACAATTTTATGGAATTAAAAATAACAAGATTAAAGCAATTTTCTTTCAGCTTTCAAAACCATTTTTAAAAGGAGGTTGTTTGTTAACTAGAGGGCTTTACAGTGAAAGTTCGTTAGGTTAATGCAGTAAAACTTTGTGAAAATCGCGGCGATGCATAAAATGTATTTCTCATAAACAAAGATGTGAATTAAGACAGTAAAGTCAAAATTATTCAAGTAATACTACCGATTAATGATAGTCTTCAAACTATCTATATATAAATATTTTTTACATACATCCTTTGTTTTACTTTAAAAAATTAAGCAATAAATGAAGACAGAAAGTTAATATAATATATAGAAACACTAGTTTAAAATATATTCGAATGAATTCGAAAAGCCGTAATATGACATTCGAAGGAGACAGACAAATGAGAATGATTGAGAGGAATCAGCTTGGATGGGCAGGTTTAGAAAGTTCACTAATGAACTCGAGCAAACAAGTACCAATCTTTCTCAAAAAATGTGTGTATGAGCGCAGTGCATTTTCCCTATGATCTATGGAGCAGAGACCTAAACTCGACTAAACTTGAGCAGAAAGTCCAAGTTGCGCAAAGAATGGGCTACATTAAATATCTCACTCATTGACCACATTCCAAACATAAATATCTGAAAGCGCACTGCACTAAAAGACATCTCTTCAGTATTATCCACGTTAAAATGAAAATGGGCAAGCCACATGACCAGACGTGATGATGGATATAAGAGCCGTAAAATCGTAGAGACCAAAAATTAGTCAAAATAAAATGTGGAGATAACCTATTCCCTGGGCCGACGCTATAACAAAAATAGTGAACAAGGTCTGGATGCGGATGGCTAAGGATCGGAAATTAATAGTTATGAAGAGGCCTATAGAAGAGAGATAAACACTTGCAAACAAAATATTTTGCGACTGGGCCATTTCTATTAAATAAAATTAAAAACAAATTATTAATTAAAGAATACCATTAAAATAAAGAAATTTAAAGATAGCAAGTAATTTCATTAAATTTATTAGCATAATTACTACAATTATAACAACAGAGTTAGTTTAAAATTCGTTCAACTGCCAATAGAAATTCGCTTTGCCAGTATCACAATAAGTAAAAACATTCGCCAATGAAAGAAATTAAAAAAGGTATAAAGTGCAAATCATTATTGATATGTTGTGTGATGGATGCACAGACGGTTCCACTCAACAAGTAAAACGATAAAGGCACCCTTGCTACCATCGCACAGCACACAGTAAAAAAAAAATTCAGTTTCACCTTTTAATCCGGGGAACACCAACGCCAGGTATATAACACATTTTGTATCGATTTTAATGTTCTCATAAAACACTAATACTTTGATTAACACAAAAAACTATCACTAATAACGTAATTAAAACATAATTAAAACAAAAAATCAATTACCGACAACGTAATTAAGCAAAATGTATCATTATAAATAATAATGAGCATGAAAGCATAATACATAGGTAGGTCAATTGACAGGTAAACGTATAAATACATTTTAATTTTTAAATGCGACCGGACGCCACGAGTGTCGATGCGCTAATGATGCATTTGTGCATCCTATAGTATAGCCTAGTCTTCTTCGATTTTACATTGTACGTATATAACTAGAGCTCTACGTTCTTGCTACAAATAAAACTGAAATGCAGACGCCAGCGTCTATACTTTTTTGCAAAACTGTCTAAATCTACAAATTATGTGTTTCTAATGCAAAATTTTAGTAGAAAACAATAATAAAGTAGAGTTCTGGGAATATCTAATTTGTAACTTGTGGGTGCTGTTGAATGAATACAATAACATACTTACATAGGTAGTTGTGGGGCGGCGCAAAGCGCCGGCCCCCGGTGTAACGCGGGCCCACACGTGGCGCCTTCTCCTCGCTGTGGCCAACACGTAAAGTACCACTACAAAGAATTTCACAGTGGGTACTCGTAGTCACAGCCAGTTTGATGGAGCCTCAGGCTCATATCAATCGATAGCACCTGAAATTCCAGGAAAATATTCAATACATTGATGATTGTTTCATATATTGACACTCACACCGATGTAAATTACTTGTTGCATGTGCACTGCGCATGCTGATGTCTACGCTCACAATTAACTTGTTACGCAAGCGAAGGGTGAGACCGGAGTTAGGTTCAGATGTACTGATTTTTTCGACCCGGACGCCGTTAGCCAGGTATACACAAAAGATGACAAAATCAGTACAAATTCAACTACTTGAACAAAATAGTGAATACTTCTTCAAATAGTACGTTTAGATCGATGATGCTATTATTAAAATGTCAAATTCAAGTCAAATGGATCTATATCCCCCGGGCTATGCTGATTAAATAGCTATTGGCTTTACGTTTAATATTAGAATTTCATAGGTTTAAATGCAGTATACTTCTATTATATCAAGATAGACTATACGAGTACAAGATTTCTAAAGTCCTAATAAAATAAGTAAAACAATCTAACTCTATTATACAGTTATGCACTTATCAACAGCCAATCTTTATTTATATCAATTATTTTGTGAAATATAGATAATAAAGATGACAATTCTGAACTCCCCAAACCGATAATTATAAAGATAGAATGGATGACATAATACGTAATATACGGTTACAATTTATTTATTCAAAGACACATCACCAGTTAGTGCATAGTATAGTTACAATTACGGATAATGTAACATTGAAAAATACCGAAACATACGAATAATAACGATAATAATTATAATATAGTATTATTACTGAGACTGCATGTAGGACAGAATATGTTTGTCTGAAGTCAAAGGATCTATACTAATGTGTATCACTGGATTAATTCAGTTATTAATTTTGAATATTTTAGGTGCTCCTGGTATTAATTATTACAAAAATATTCTTTTAATTTGTAAAAATTCCATGTCATACTAATCTCGAAACCGTTAAACCGATTTTAATAAAATTTTGTAAATGTGTATTGTATACCCAAACTTCATAGACGATAACTTTTAGTTCGATATATGGGGTAAAACAAAAGAACGTTTGCCCGGTCAGCTAATATTGTTATAAAAATTTATACAATTAGCATAATAAAACTATCACAAAATATCAATCTGTTCGTTCAATCGTTTAATCAAAAAAAAAGCTACTCAATCGTGACAAAATTAATATGTGACCAACTCGAGAGTAAAACCCTAAACCTTTAATAACACAAAAAAATATAGGAATCGATGAAGATATCACACAAAAAGTAAAATACACACAAAAAGTAGAGACAAATTAATTTCGTTTGAACTCTTGGAAGTATATTATTTTGATGGGTACAAACCTACAAAAGTGAAGTAAATGATTAGTCGTGTCTTATTTACCTAGAACGTTGGATTACCTAAAATACAAATACTGAACTTATGGGAATATATAATCATTTCAACAATGCCTATATAAAATACTTTAACATTATTACATTGAAATAATAATTCGTGGTCCGACATTGATGGCACGCATTACCTCGTTTTGTCTCTGTAGGGTGATGCTTTGAGGCTTACTTCGTGCTTATCCTCTATACGGAATCTTTTACTGAGAAGTACTACTATGATATGCTGGTATCGAGACAGCAGCACTTGCAGTCTCGTTTACACCTGCTAGAAGAAAATCGTAAATATCAATTTAAAAACAAATTTCCCGATTTATTAAACGAAAAGTTTTATTATTGCAACCAGCTAGATAACGATACTTAGAATTACAGACAGAATACACAATAATTCTAAACAAATATAATGAATATACAAGGAATCTAAAAATTATTGTGTTGGCTTTTAAGTCTCCTATTAAAAACCCTAATATAAATTTTTAGGGCTCTGTACAAAAAAGGTACAATAGAACCCTTGTGGTGCCGCTTTGTGCGTCAATCCGTCAGTCAGTCTGTCACAATGCTAACAGATATCACAGCTACTACTAAAATGCTATCGATTTAAATTTGGAATACTTTTACACATTGTTGGCCCATATATACTGCAATAGAAATAACAGAAAAATATTATTTTCTCAAACATGCTTGGAAATATGAGCATTATTTTGACAATCTTCTTCGAGATAAATCAAAATTGTCGTACTGGTCAAATACAAGCGGGCAGCGGCCGGCAAAAGTTGTATGAAAATCCATATCTGTCGTGTTTTGCGGCCAGATATATTACTATGTAAACTCATATCTATCCTGTATTTTAAAAATGGAATGACCTTTTACTTCGAAACATGGCTACCAACGATGTAACTAATAAAAGGTTTTATTTAAATTTCGAACTGGTTTGCAAATAGAAAGCTGTTTATTGAAAAAAAAAAACAAAGGAACATTATGGCGCGTGAAAAATTATTATTGTTCGTTATTCGTCATTGAACTTAAAAAATAAAATTGTATTTTTTTTATTTCCACGCATTGTTTGAGAAAAGTACTATACAAGCCTTGGCCACAACTAGTCATTGACATCATGGACTCACGTATGTGTGCCTCGGCTACGCCTCGGCCCACATTTGTACGTTCGTCCATCAATGCCTCAGTTGCTGGCCGCTGCAGTAATGTACTATATTTTCTTTGGACCCTCTGTCCAAAAGAATTACACGAAATTTCAAAACTGACCTATTAGTAGGGTAATTACCAAGTGGGGAATTATATGAAAGGATTTCATTTGTATATTTTAAAACCAATTTTTATAAATTTTATGCTGCGTACTTATGATCGCAAGAAAAGGAACATTCTTCCCCCTTCTTATCTCAGAAATTTTTGCAATGAATAATCTGAAATAATCACAGTTTACACAGATATTCGTGAATATTATAGAAAAAATAAAACATTGTTTATAACTAGCACCGTTTTATAAAAAAAAAACTGCAAAAACAAACTCAGACAGTTTAGTTTTTAACCAGAAATATGACCCAATATAAGAAATCACGAATTGAAGTTATCAATTATAATAACTATTAATTGACGATTTCGTATAATAAATGTAATAAAAGTAATTTTATCTCTAATATATGTTTTTTTTTTTATTTGCTCTTTATTGCACCACGTAAAGAATAATACAATATTTATGTTTGTAACCCTCGGCGTATGAGTTTAACTTACACCTGCTTGTATTATTTCTTAATATCTCCTGTTAGCGGAGCGCCCGGGGCGTTGATAACAAAAAATCCTCGGAATTTTGTTTGGGTGAAAGAAATTTAAAAATAAGTTTGAATGTTTAATTAAAATATTATACAAAAAAAATTATGTATTAAAAATAGGAATTTTAACTTTCAAAAATAATAATAACCTATTGCTCTTATTATTTATTTTTTCATTAAAATCAAATTATATATATATATATATATATATATATATATATATATATATATATATATATATATATATATATTAAATAATAAATATAAGAAAATAGATATTTGGGCCAATTAAACTAACGAGGACGCAAGGCAGAAATAGTAAATACTAATGCAACCCTGAAATTTTATCATAGTTGTTTATCGAGTTAAAACAACTTTGTAAACAAGTTCATCTCTGAATAAGGGGTCAAATGACCAAATTCAGGGAATTAAAAAACAATATTAAATATATAAAAAAAAAAACTTGTTTTTGACAAATCATTTTAAAATTACGCCCCGATTTAAAAAAAAATTAAAAAGAGAAGTCGTAGCTAACGTAATTCTGAGCATTTGATATATTTTTCAATATCCTAGTTAAAACTGACCATGTTATGAATATTAAAAGATTTATGCTTTTGACGCAATCCTGTCTTCTTAGGTTACTTTATGATCTAGACTTAGAAACCTTTATAACTTCATACATGGTACAATTGAAATAGAACAATTTTACTAAGGGTCACTGGAATGATCCATAAATAAAAGTTCTTATACCAAACTTTTATTTCAGATTATGCATGCTGTGGACTTAGTTGTGGGCATTCAAATGACTTCTCAAAAAATTCTAATAAGACAAATTGATAAAGCAATAACTTTAATAAGTCCATTTGATGATGTATTCTTTAATACGTACTAAATATTAAAATCAAGGATCGACAAAAAAAATTAGTCATCTTTGTGCAAAATATTACTGCAATATTCATTATGTCGCTATATAATAAGTATCAAAACATTTAAGCCATCGTATAAATGTTTTGTAATTTATGGAAATGAAATAAACTCATGTTATTATTATTAACAATTTATGTAATAGATAGAAAAATTCGACACAATTATAACAAGCTTAATACGTTTAATATAAATTTTAATTTTGGAACTTGAGATCAAAACAATGCTACGAAAAATTTTTTATCAGCACGCTCCATTTTAAGCCACGCCCATAATAGATTTTTTAAACTTTAGAATGCAGTAATTACGCTTCCATCATGTATATTAATCAAAATGGCGCACGTAGTAAAATATATTATTGTATTTGTATTAAAAAATTAAAATAAAGTTATACGCTCAAATATTTGCTATTTTTTTGTATAAAATCAGGAGCATAAAAATGTTGGTAGTATTTGCAACTTATAAAAAACAATCCCATTTAAACCAAATAATTTCATTCGCACGAATAAAAATCCCAGCTAATAACCTTCATACGCTTCACTACACTCCACTACTTATAAGATGCTATTTAATAATCTATATGCGAAACTTCGTTGCCAAATTATAAGTTTTATATATGAAATTTAAAGTTATCATATACGAGTTTGGCTACCTACTTGTTAACCCTATTACTCCATTCGGGAAGCGAACTCGTGTCCCCAACAGCTCACCGCCTTCAATTCTAATTTTGGTTGGCTACATTCAAAAGAGGGAGATTTTCAATTCACTATATTTTTTGTGGATATGTAACCAATTTAGCAAACAATTGAATTTACTCTCATGTTGGTATCACATTAATTTCGTTACAGTTTAAGCTGCAGTTTTTCTTTGTGAGAACACGATTCCGCGTTTCATCTATACTAGTATCATAAAAAGGAAAGATTTGTTTATGTGTAATGGACAAACTCAAAACTAATTAACCGATTTTTAAATTCTTTCATCTATATAAAGCGACATTACCAGCAAGTAACATAGGCTATATATTGCGTTCAAAAATTCTATCGACTCGTGCGAAGCTGGGCCAGATCACCAGCATTAAAATATTTTCAGTTAATGTCTATTAAACATCTCGTCATTCACCGGTGTTACGTCACGATTGAATTCACTGTTTTTTTTACTCGGTAACTAAATATTGTGAAAAAAGATGTGCAGATTATTTGACTCTTACAGTTTTGTTATGATATCCATATTTTAATTAATTATTCCAAACAGAAATAAAGAAAATATTGACACATATAACGCTGTGCAGTAGTCGTCAGTAATGACCACGTCGTTTCCATATTGACAAAACACTTGATGTCGCGACAAATTACGTAAAATCTGCCCGGAAAAAGTAGGTGAACATGAGTATACCCAGCCTTCGACAGCTGTAATGATGGCAAACCCTTCAGTCAATATCCAAATGATCCATTGTTAAATCGTACGCATACTATTTTTAGACGATTTCAAAAATTGGTCTGATTTGTTGTGTATTACTCAATTTCTGACAACCTTGCTGGTATAACGGTTTAATAACTCGTCTTATCTTCCAATAGGATTCAGTCCCCGGATAACACAAATATTTTCGGATATAATAGTATGCGTATATCACAATAGTATGCGGACAAATGAATTTAGATACGTGTGTTACATCTTTCCTAATCCTAAATTTTTTTTAATGTGAAAAATTATAAAGATGTTTTATTGTTTAATATTTGTATATTTACTACTAAATCACGCTTTCTCGGCTGCAAGGAAGAAATATCTTCTAATAATAGAGGGATCAATCCTGGGACAATAATATATTTGTATGTTAATTTGCATCGATCTGGGTGTTTTCTATGTACAATATGTATGCATTTACGAAAACAAAATATTTACGTTATCTAGTACAAGCTCTGCTTATTATAGGACTAGATAGATGATGCTGTGTATTATGTCCAAAATTATTATTAGGTATTATACTTATTTTTGTTTTTGGAGTTAATTCAGAAATATAATAGTCTGGGCCCAATCAATGTACGTTTCATGTAAAAAAAAAACTGAACCCAATAACTATTCGAAATTAATATACCTTTAGTTACAATTATGCTTTACTTCGTAACACAAATTGGGATTCAATATTTGCAACACAAGTCTAACATGGTGGAACATCAATGTCATCTTGATTGACATCGGTTGGGGCGATGACATAAGATCGTTATTATAAGTATCCAACACGTGGCATTTCCTTAGTATTTTCCGACTGTTTTGTTTTCATTTAAAAATTCATATTGGAACATTGTGCTATTTATTAGAAACTAGCGACCCGCCCCGAGTTTGCACGCATGCAACTAATATTTAGAAGTTTATATATTTGCTACTTCATCAAGCTGAAACGGCTGAATGGATTTTAATGGAATTTGGTGCACGGATAGGTAATATCCTAACTTAATACATAGGTTACTATAATACTTATAATAGAACACTCTATGCACTTATTTACGTGGAAATAAGCTAGTATTATAAATGTGAAAAAGAGTTTGTTTGTTACATCTTGCCG